GCACAACACACTCCTGTATATTTTGCTATGGCCCACGTGCAGTGGTGATGTTTTGCGTGTATATTTAATCTCATGCTTCCATGTATTATACATTTAGTAATCAAAGATTTGTGACCATGTTTCATTAAAAGCTTGTAATTAATTCAGTGGCTGGCATATCCAGTTTGTCATTGTCACACTAGTGTGCCTTCTGTGCCAATTTTATGACAGTTGGATGTCACTTATTTAAAATCTGGTTTAAATGGGCTAATGATATTCCAATGGCTAATGTTCTTTTCTGAAACACTGTATAGGACGTGCACTTATCTTTAGTTAAAACTGAGTGTTCTAGTCAACATTTAATCCTGTTACGTTAAGTGTTCGACAGTACTTGCTCTTTTTCTCAGATTATTGATAAAGAGGCTCAGTTAGAGCTGGACACTACTGCTTTGGGGTTTTCTGGTTTTTACTTTTTTAATGTAAGTCTAAGTCTTTGTAATTATTGAATTGTGAGAACATTTTTGAACAATTTACCTGTCAATAAAGCAGAAGAGGGAGGTTTTAAAGTTCATAGTTGTCTGTCTTGACATGTGAAAAGCGTCTGCGATTGATGCTTGCCTTAGTTTCATAATAAATTCACTTTGTCCACTTGAAAATTTTACATAAACGAAAAGATACTTTTACTAAAAATTTACATAAGAGATTGCGTACCAGAACACTACAAGAAAAGGGTGGGTGGGTGTGGCTGTGTGTGTGTGTTTCCATCCTCAATGCTTATTTAGGAGCAATGGGCATCCTTTAGATGGAATATGATGTTGCACTCACTGTGTCACAGTTGCCATTTCATTGAGTCACGGGCCCTGTAAATTAATTTCAAGTGATTTAGATTATTTTTTTACAGCTGCAGGATCCMGTGTGATAAAACACTGCAGACACTGGTTGTCAAAACATGAATCCCARAGAGCCACAAACCTCTTGATGACCCTGTTGGAGCAGGGCCTCCTTTGTCCTTCTCGCCTGCTCCCCTCTCCCCTCCTCAACATACGGAAGACTTTCCAAGCTGAGCGTTTGAGCACTGTGGAAATTGCTGGGGCTGGAGCAGAGCCAAAACCTTTCCTAGSGTGTCCTGGGTTGCCTTGTCCCTTGCGGAGTGCCCCAATGTTCCCACGTTGGGTCTGTTACCCTGAGGTGTGAGGTTGCAGAGCGTGTCTTGGTCAAGGAGGCCAGSGTGGCCATTTGGGGCCTTGCTCTTCCCGGCTTGACCAAACCTGGGCAAGGCCAGGAGCTGCAGATTGGCTCAGGAAAGGTCATGGAACAAGCCGGAAACCTTCCAGGACGTGKTCGCGTTCATCAATCTTGGACTTAGAAAATGATTTCTGCTGTTCTTGAGCGGATTTTTCGCTGTACGGTAGGGACTTTGGATGACAACAAACTCTAATTATGGGGGTATTAAATCACAGCACTCAGCAGTGCCAGAGCCTGCTTACAATTTAAGCATGAGAATGTTTCTAGAAAAACAGAGGAGTTGCTTAGCATGAATATATAAATACTTTTTTTTTTTTTTTTCAGTCTGGCTGCGCGAAATCCCTCCCAACATCCTCCATTCAAGCCCATTTCAAATCTATTCCCTTATGGCTTTAATTCCAGTTACCTAAAGAGTCCTAAACCCTCAGGAGAACTGTAGAGATGTGGAAATGCAAGACTCTTGAAATATCCCTCTGACTCCGCTTGCTTTTCCCTGGAGGTTGCTAATCTAGCATCACAAGCAGGAACCTTACTTATGCAAGGAACAAGGGTAATTTGCTCTCTGCCAATTGCTGCGCCAAGGCTATTTCCACAGAAGCAGTTTGTAGGGTCAGGCCAATGATGCTGGAGCGATGCAGGAAACTTGCCCAAGAGCTGGGCTCATCAGAAAACTTTGCTCCCTTCTAGCAGAGATTTTTCAGCATGGAAGGTTCAGTGTTCTGGAATGTCACTGGTGTCACTCGCTAGGCAAGACCTAAACGTGACCAGCGCCGCTGTCTACAGCGCGGGTGTTCTGGGCATGAGCTGCTTCCTCAGTGAATGCCGCCCGCTGTCGTGTGCGTGTGTAAACGCCTGCCTTGTGCTTGCAGGGTGGGTGCTTGAAACGGCTAAGTCGCGGGGGGGAACTTCTGCGTGGAAATGCTGAACTTTTAGACACCCTCGTTGTTCTCTGCATTGCCAGATTAGGCAGCCTTGGGAGGAATCGGATGCATAAATATCCTCATGGCTGGTGCACTGAGTGGAGTAGTAATCTGAAGTGCTAAGAAATAGGGAGCATTTGAGGGAAGAAAGACGACTGCAAGACCAGAATTGCACCCTTAGGAGAGCTAGCAAGTAACAGTTAAGGAAGCTGTCACACCGTGGCCATGAATGCTGTCTTGTTGCTGAATCTGAACTATTTAAAAGGAAAAGAAATGCCCAGCTACTGGAGCATCCCACGTCCTGGTTCGCACGTCTCCCTGGCTTTGTGAGGCTTTGGTAAGGAGGGCAGCAAAGCGTGTTCACCTGCCAGGGGCCTGCTCGCGGTGGCAGCAGGGCTCCCGGTGGCAGCAGGGCTCCCGGACCACCCGCTTGGGCAGCAGCACAGCCCCAGCGCGGTGCAGGGCTGGGGTCTGGGCCAGCAGCCACGTGGCCACCAGGGCCTCTGGGGAGCTCCTTGCAGTGCTGCTCTGCGGGGCGAGGAGCTGCAGGCGGCACGAGCRGCACGAGCAGCACGAGYAGGCTGCGGAGGCCRAGTGCTCCGAAGGAGGCAGCGGGTCTAGTGCTCCCTTGGGCAGCCCCCGAACGCGCCTCCGAGGGCGGCAGCAGGACTAGTGGCTGCCTGGCGCTTGAGGGGGTGTTGGAGGGAGCCGTGCGCTGGGATCCGCCGCGCTGCTCGGAATACCATTAGCCACGGGGTGAGCTGAGGACAGGAGCAGCAGCGGCAGGACGTGAGGAGGCAGCGGCGCTGCAGTGCTGCGTTCAGCCAGAGGAGGACCAGCAACGCAAGAAATCAGCCACAGCCTGGCAGTAAACACGTTCCCCGCTCCCCCGAGATGCAGCACTTTGTCACCTGACGGAGCGGGTTATGCGGCTTTATTGGTTGTTTCATCATGGATAAAACCCTTGGATTTTCACAGCCTCACCTGCTCTCGGGTCCCTCATGCAGCCCCTGCTCTGTGTTCTCCTGAGCAGCAGCAACACAACAGCCAGGCGCTGAGCAGCGAATGCGGTGAGACGAGCTGCCCAGTGCTCTGCTGAGCACCCTGCAGCAGCCCACATGGTTCTTCAACCCCAGTGGTGCCAGGCCATGCCTAKTGGGCTATTGTTATTTATTAGCATTAATCAATATTAAAGTTAACATTTTAAACATGTTCTTCTGAAACACTGGTGAAAACTAAAAGGAGGGGCCGGGTTTGCTGGGTGGGCTCAGCGCTGTTCCCAGTCCTGCAGCTCGCTGAGCGGGACGCGCTCCGTGCGCCCAGGCTGGGAGCGGTGCCGAGGTGCTGCGGCTGGCACGATGCTCCAACCTCCCGTCTTTGACACTGTGCGAGTAGTGTCTTCTTCTGCAGCCCTGGGAAAGAGCAGCTCTGGYGCGCTTGCCATTAGCTCTAATGCATCTTGCATAAGTCTGGCACAGCAGGATTCCTTGCCTCTCAGGACCAAGAGCAAAGCAAAGCTGCCAGGTACTCCCATGGTCCACACACAGCACCAGACACATGAACCAAGGCAGTGACTACCAAAGAGCTCCGGGAATTTATTTCCCAGTTTCCCAGGAGACTCTCATGTACTGAAACCCTTTGCGCTACCTCCCTGCACCACGGGCCACGTCCTCACCAGCGAGGAAGCTGCAGCAGCAGGGCAACCTCTGCCCTTGCAGCAGCTGCTGGTCCCTGGCATTGCAGAATGCGCCGGTCACTTCATTCCTTGCCAGCCCTTCTCCCTGCCCAAGGGCCGCTGAGCGCGAGTGGACGTGTCTCCTGGGGGAAAAGTACAGCCTGTGCTCTGCGAGCGCCCTGACAAAAATTGATCTCTGCTTTAATTAAAGCCTCTATTGTAAGTGACCTCAAGTTGCTAATGCATTTTAAAAATGAAGTCTGGCAAGCAGCGACTCCACAGACCCCAGAGTGGCAGAGTGAGGCGGCATCGGCCCCCGTGCGCGGAGCTGGGGCGCCTCTGATAATCCCAGCATGCAGGGCCTTCCAGCTGCAGTAATGCAGCTGCTCACGAATGTGAGGAACTGCTCTGAAAGAGCAAGTCCACAGCAGCAGTGGGCTCTCCAGGATGTGGCTCTCTGTCCCCACAGGCTCGAGGAATGGGGGTGACCATGTTGGGGATGTGTTTTGGAGCCCTGACCCTGCAACATTTGTCCCCCTGGAGATGTCGCTTTCTGCAGGGGGATGGAGCGGGTCACCTGCACTTGCCATGACCCAGTAGGAAGGGATCAGGTCTTGCAGAGATGAGAGAAAAATAGTCCTAAAATAGCTGCTTCCTCATGGAATATGCCACCGAGCCCTACTGAGAGCCCAGCAGCATGTGAATTTGCATACATTTGCATGCATCTCCATAATTGCCCGGTCACCCATGGGGCCGCCCGGCACTGGGGCTGCCAAGGAACATGAGGCACCAGGGCCGGCACATGGTGATCCCACATGGGGCCATCCCACCCGGCCCCACTTCTCCCCTCTTGCTGCAGCCGGCACATCCTGGCCCCATCCTCGGTGCCCTCGACCCGCCTCCCGAAGCAGCACCCTGGAAGCCGAGCTACTAAAACAAAACACCATGAACCCCCCTTGTTCTTCGTTGTTTTGCCATGAGAACATTTACTGCCCCGCAGCAGGGAATGGGGCGCCGCATCCCGGGGCGGGTCTCGGAGGGGACGTCAGCCTCGCTGCGGGGAGGCCGGGGCGGCAGCACGGCGGGGGAGGCCCGTGCTGGGAGCAGGCCCGAGGCAGGCGGGAGGGCGGCAGCGCCATGGCGCCCTCAGGCCTCCATGTCGTCCCATCCTACAGGCGCCCTCAGGCCTCGGCCTCGCTCGCATCGTACAGCGGGTTCAGGTAGAAGAGCTGCKTGTCCGTGAGCGCCGTCTCGTGCCGCGCGTCCTCGTGAGGGGCAGCGCCTGGTGGCTCCTGCGGTGGCACCGGAGGAGACCCACAGTGTGAGCGCAGTGCAGGTGCTGGGTCATGCCAGTGCAGTGCGGCCGCAGTGTGGAACATGGGGCTGCAGTGGGCATGGTGTGGGTGTACTGCTGCACACCCATCGCAGGTGCAGTGCAGGTGCAGTGCAGGAGCGTGCGGGGTTGCTGCTGTGCACTGCTGTGTGGTACAGGTGCAGTGCTGTGTCCCCACCTCGAGCAGGGTCCCCCCTTCACCACCCCCAGCAGAGGCAGGACCCACGGACTCACCGCCGTGTCCATCGGCAGGTCGAACATGGGGTTGTCAAACCCTTTGCCGCTCGCTGGCTCCGGCGGCGCCGGGCTGAGCGCTCTGCCCCACAGCCGGGGGACACGCACGGCCCACAGCCTGTGGAGAGACATGGGGTCACCCGTCTGCATCCCGAGCTGGCGGCAGCAGTTCATTAACAGTCATTAATGCACCATGAATGGTCACCCCGGCCATGTCCCGTCCCTGCGAGCTGCCCCCCGGCACGAAGGAGCCGGGTGCCCCTGGTGCTGGGAAGGGCCCGCGCTTGGGTTCAGCTCCGGCCTCTCCTGTTCCGTACACTTCCCTCTCAATGCTGACAGCGCTCGTTTCAAAGGCCTGTCCAGCGTCCAAACACATGTCAGTGGAAGATAAATCATCAAGCAGCAATCATGGGTCCTGCAGTTTTATTTAGAAATGAAATGAAGRCACCAGTGTATTGCTAGGAAACGTCCTGTCAGCACGTGCGGGGCGGCAGGGACGCAGCCCATGTGGAGCGCCCACGCCAAGGAGCGGGGCCGGGAGAGCAGCCTCGCCGCGCGCCCCGGCCACCGGCACCCGCCGCACAGGGTGCCCTGTGCCCCTGGCAGGGCCAGYGCCTGTTGGCTCACACGAAAGCCCTGGCCATCCCCAGGAGATGTTCGGGGTCTCTCCAGCTTGCCCAAGGTCGGGTGGGTGAAATTCCTGGGAGCAGCTCATGTGCAGGGACACGATGTGTCACCAGTGACGGCTCAGGCTGGGGACAGGCCTGGCGGGACCTCGGGGGGAGCCAAGCTGAGCACATGTCCGGCTGGTCGTGATGATCATGATGGCCATGGTGATAATTGTGGTCTGGCTTGGCCCCCTTCCCACCGCCGAGCCCTGCGTGCCCCAACAGCCTCACCAGGAGGAGAGGTGCTGGAGACGGGGCCTCTCTGGGCGGCTCTGCGGCGCACCCGGGAGCTGAGCGCCCCTTCGTCCTTCCCTTGCATGTGCGCTCCCTCTGCACTGCCAATAGCTAAGGCGCTGGCAGAGAGCAGCACTGCATTTTTATTTTTGTGATGCTTTCACTCYCTTTCACTACTACCAAGCGGCAGGATAAATGTTTTGAATTATTTCCATGCACTTCTATTTAAAAGCCAGCAGTTTCTGTTCTCAATCCCTAATTAAAGGTCACCAGGAGATTTCCATGGAGCAGCAAGGTCAGGCTGGTGGGAGCTCAAGCTGAGAGCAGCAGCAGCAGCAGCCCAGGGCACAGTGCCAAACAGCAAGCCCCTCCAGGCTGTGCAGCAAGCTCAAGTACCAGCCTGAGTGCATGGAAGTGCCTTTTCAGTCACCTCAGAGCATTCCACCCTGCCCTGGTTGGATGCTTGATCTGAATCAGCCTAGTCTGAAAGCTCYTCTGGTTTATGCCAGCTGCTGATAGACACAAGGAGCCGGTGCCTTCCAGCACATCAGAGTACCCAGCCGTGCCTGCAGAGGTGGCAGGAGGGATGCAGCACAGAGAAGGAGGTGCAGGAGCCCTGGGTTTGCCTCTGTGCAAGGCTGGCTGGAAGTCCAGCACTCAGTAACAAGTGGCCGTAGGGTAGCAGAAGACCTGGAGCAGCCAGGCCTGGAAGACTGGGAAGATGCTGATGGGCTGGGGAGTTTGCCACTAGCCTGGCCTACATCTTGCAGTGGTTGCCAGCAGTGTCCATRTGCTGGGAGCAGAAGCCCCTTTCCTACCTTAATGTTCCTTTCCTGTAGAGAAAGAGCATCCCTCCAAGCAGCAGGAGACCGCAGAGCAGGCCCAAAACTGTCACCGTTAGCACCCTCCTCGATGTGCTGATTCCTGTTTGGCCACTGAAAATGCCGTCAGCGCCACTGGCCACCTCCATTCTGCTACTGGATATGCCAAGTGCTTCGCCTGGAAAGGGTGGGATGAAATATGGGTAAGGTCTGCACAGTGTAGCTCTTCCTCCCCCACACCAGCTGGCTCGCACACAGGGCAGAGGGAGCTGCTGCTGCTYGCATGGTCCAGCTCCTCTCCCCAAGGCAAAGAGGGACTAAACAGCTGCATGGTCCCCGTTTATGAACTACACTTCCATCAGCATCTCCCAGCTTACATGGCTGCATCTACATCCAGCGCAGCAGCTGGGAGCAGATTTGCAGAGAAGGACCTGGGAGCGGGTCCTAGCGGACAAGGACTTAAATGTGGGACAGCAATACGCCCTTGTCAATGGCATCCTGGGATGCTCTAGGCAGAGCATTGCCAGCAGGTTGAATCTTCACCTCTGCTCGACACTGGTGCGGTCCCTTGTGCAGCCCTGTGTCCAGGTCTGGGCTCCCCCAGGGAAGGGGATGTGGATGTACTAGAGAGTCTAGCAAGGGCCTCAAAGGCGGCTGAGGGATCAGAGCACCCATCATACAGGGAGAGGCTGAGGGAGCTGAGACTGCTCAGCCTGGAGAAGAAAAGGCCTTGCGGGTTCTTATCCAGATGCATAAATATCTGATGGGAGAGTGCAGAGAAGACAGAGACAGTCTTCTCAGCAGCTCCCAGTGACAGGACAAGATGCAACAGGCACGAACTCAAACACAGGAAATTACACCTGAGCACAAGAAAATAAAACCTTCACAGTAAGGTGCTTGAATACTGGAACAGATTGTCCAGGGAGGTTGTGGGGCCTCTATCCTTGGAGATATTGAAGCTGACAGGACATGGTCCTGGGAAACCTGATCTATTTGACCCTGTTGGACTAGACGATCCCCAGGGGTCTCTGCCAACCCCAATAATTCTTTAATTCTGCAGTTCTGTTCTCGCACTGATGTCTATCATGATCAAAGTGCTACAACTTTGGGGTAGGCAAAGTTTCACCAGCAAAATTCTCAGAAGAGCAGAGCATGTGTGTACTGGGAAGGTTTAGAGCTGTACCAGACTAAAGAGGACAAGGGCAGTGCTTTAAAGCTGTGCACAGCAGAAGCCATTGCCAGGCAATCAAGTGCTTTCGGTGCCGGGAGCATCAAGCAAAGAGCGCCTTGCTAGCGTGTGATTCCCATCACGGGACACGGCTGCTGGAAGAGCGGGGACACCGAGGTGGCAGCCTCAACTGAAGAGAGGGGACGAGGAAGAGCGGGTTGGGAGCCGAGGGGAGGGCAGTGTCACCTCACCGTGCTGCGCGATGTCCCTGGTGATGTCCTCGGCCAGCTGCGCAGCGGCCGTGCCGCTCCCGGAGCCGCTGCCGTCATCCACGAGCACCAACTGGATGAGGGGAGCGGAGCTGCGCAGCGCGGCGCCCGGCGCGCTCTCTGCCCTCTGCACCTTGGATATCGCCAGCTGAACTCCAGCGTACTGCGGCTTTTCAAAACACAAAGACATGCCAAGGGAGCAGGAGGTGTAAATTAGAGTGGCATCTATAGACAGCCATGATGGATGTGCCCATAGGCCCATCTATAAATCTTCAGGTGAAACCCATCATGGAGCTGCCATTCCTGTTATTGCCTTGCCATTGGGTTTCCCACGCAATAGGTTCATATCTCGTGTCCCTGGGAAGATGCGTGGGGTGTCCCTGGTGTACAGCATCCCCCAGCAGAGGCGAGAGCACTGGGAATTCTTTCCTGCTGATCCCTGCAGGAGCTAGCAGGTCCCACAGCCCCACCAGCCAATGCCCCTGCCTGACCTGCAGCCAAGGGAGCAATTTAGTGTAGCACACCCCTTAAACTATGTAGTAACATCTGCACGGTCATAGAGAGGGCAGGAAGCAAGCTTGCAGTTCTGGATCGATAGAGCAGGCTCTGCCATTGATCCTGCTGGTGGATCCCAAGCACGGCCTGACCTCCGGCAGCCCTGGCACGAGGCGGCTCCCGGAGCTGCGGCCGGGAGCAGCGCTGGCCRGGTCTGGGAGCACTGGGCTCAGCATCCCATGGGCATCCCATGGGCAATGCACATGGCCACACAGCCCCGCAGCTGCCACCTTCCCTGCGAGTCACCAGCTGGTGCTGCTGGTGGCTCCCCAAGGTGCCACCCGGCCGGGTCACATACCAGGCTCAGGAAGGTTTGGACGAGCCTGTCCCGATACTGCTGCAGGTCGAAGTTGGGAGTGAACTCCAGGCAAACGATGGCACCTGCAGCCCAAAAAGAGAGATATGAGTCAGAGCACAGGGTCAACAAGCCTGGAGTGGCCGGAGAGCTGCCGTGGACTTGAATTATGCCCCTGACTGCCACGAGGGGCACAGCGGGCTCTCCAGCAGCTTCATGCCATGGGATCTCCCTGCAGTGCCAAGGAGCGGAGCACTCACGTCTGAGCAAAGCTCACAGGAGGAACCGCTCCCTGTTGCAGCTCTTCTATTGACTGCTTTCGGTTAAAAGCTTTTCTTTTCCATCAGATTCCAGAGAGGGGCCTTTTGTTAGAGGCTTTTTCCTGCATATTCCTGCGGGTTGCTCTATGTTTACCTGGGTTTCAAGGCTGCAAGGCTGTGATTCAACAGTGCTGCCTTTTCTTTGGAGGTAAAGCACAGAGGAAGGGATACTCACATTCCCTCTGTCGCTGCACCGCTTTCATTGACTCATACGTTTTCCTTGAAAAAATGTTTATTGAAATAGGAAGTTTTCCTAATGGCTTCTAAAAGCTCTTTTATGGGCACATCTGAGAAATACATAGTGCCATTTTAATGAATTTGGTCCGATAACAGTTAAAATTGCACAAGGAAAAACTCCATTTAACCTCCTAGGTAGATTAATGCATAAGCACACATATGCAGAGGGAATACTGTCAATCTGCTGTTTACGGTTTATTTTAAATATGTATGCTATTTCAAACGAAGTAAATTTGCTGTTGGAAAGATGACATTACCGTGAGAAAAGCACATTTCCTTTGAGATTTTGCCATCGCCTAAACTCAGCAGAGTCCTATTAGCTTGATGAGTTTTGACATGCTGACAGGTTAAACTGGAGGCGGGGACGGAGGGCTGCAGCTCGGCGGCGGCTCCACGAGCCGCCGTGCTGCTCCAGGGAGATGTGGCTAGATGGGTGCAGGGCTGAGTGCGGGGGATGGACAGGGCCTGGGGGCACCGCGCTTGGTCCGGGCTCTCCAAGACCCGCTCGGGTGACAGGTGTCCTTGGTGCCGCACTCACCGCACACGCCGCAGCAGTGGCCGAGGGGCCGCAGCGGGCGCGGGCACGCCGGCTCGGGGCAGCGTCTCCCCGCGCAGATGCGCTGGCCGTCCTGGAGCGGAGCAGGGCGGCCTCAGCGCCGGGCTGCACGTGGCCGCAGGCCCGGCGTCCTGCACCGCCTCTGCGGGCTGCCCGGCGCCCCGGCCGGCCCTGGGGGCTCACCTGGGAGTTCCCGCAGACACAGCCGGACTTGTCCGGACACGCGGCGCCCGTCACTTGGAAGCTGCTGTTGCCGTGGAACTGCAGCGGCGCTGAGGGGCCCCGCAGGTACTGGGCCAGGGCGGCGGTGCTGGTGAATGTCTGTGTGGTAGGAGAGCGACGGCGCCCGTGAGCAGCTGCCCTGGGGCAGCCCTGTGGCACAGCAGCGGCCACCTCCACAGCAGAGCAGGGCTGCACGGCCGAGGCAAAGGGAGGGCGAGACTGCAGCTGCTCACAGCAGCCCACGGCCTCCCATGTTTCACAGAATCACAGAAGGGTTGAGGTTGGARGGGACCTCYAGAGATCATCTAGTCCAACCTCCCTGCTCCAGCAGGGACACCCAGAGCACGGGGCACAGGGCGGCATCCAGGCGGGTTTGGAAGACCTCCAGAGAAGGAGCCTCCACAACCTCCCTGGGCAGCCTGTGCCAGGGCTCTGTCACCCTCACAGCGAGGAAGTTCTTCCTCACATGCAGATGAAATTTCCTATGTTTCAGCTTACACCCATTGGCCCTTGTCACTTTCTGCCCAGCCCAGCCAGCTCTGTCCCACCAAAGTGCTGGCACTGCCTGGTGCCCCAGGAGAACCTCCACACGAGGCCAAAAATAGCTTTTCCCCACTGTGGTGAGGAGCCCAGCACTGCGGGGGTGAGCCCAGCAGGTTCCCGCTCCCCGTGACCTACTTGGGGCCGCGGCGAGGAGGTGTGAGGCGAGCACACCACCGGCTTTCTCAGCCGCCCGCGTTACCTGACCCATGAGAGCGATGCTCCGGAGATGAATCATGCCGCGCGATGAGTCGACCTTTACCCGGAAGGAGGTTTCGGGCTCGAAGATAACATCGTCGTAGCGGCACGGGACGCGCTCCTCATCCACTGCAAAGAGGCGCCCGTCCTGCTGCAGCGGCTGCCACAGCGCCGGGTCGAACCAGGAGAGCCCCTCGGCGTCCCGGAACCGGGCGGCCGGGCCTGCCCGGAGCGGCGAGAGGGACTGAGAGCAGCCCGGGCTGGACCCCGCTGCCCCAGCAGAGGGATACCCAGCGATTCATTCCGATTTATACAATATCATATAGTCTTTTATCAACTACATTGCTTACATTTATGCTTATTTATTTATTTATTTATAATCTAAGTTGCCTATGGATTTCACAGGGGTATCCAAGGGTCAGAAGCTAAAGCCTCATGCAAAAGGGGAGGAGGTTTCCCAAGCACATCTGAAAGAGCTCAAAAAGCTTCAGAGGGAAAAATGCCAGTGATGGAGGGTTTGGGAAGCGACCCTGAACAGCCAGAGGCCTCAGTCCGTCCTCCACGTGGACCTGCTGTTGTCTTGACTTTCTGTGCGCTGCCCCATCCAACTTCCTGGGTATTTTTCCCCGAGGGGCAGAGACAACAACCCGTGTTTATCATCACCGTGCTTTAAAGAGGCCCATCGGAGCCCTGGCGCTCACGCTGTTTGCATCCTCTTTGATCCTGCTTGTTTTTCTGCAGCTGAGCTAAAAAGTCGCTCGCCGCTGAAAGTGTTATTTATCTCTTAAATACCAAAAATACCTCTCCCTAGCAAATACCTTTCAGGCTAATAACAGCCACTGATAAAACAAAACTGCTACCTCAGTCATGGCAAATCTCAGTTTGAGACTAACAGGACGTTGAATGATGTGTTAGTGCTGAAATGCCTTTATGCAAATACTCGCTGGGCCAAAGGCCAACTCTCTGAAACGGCTGTGGTTCAGCTCTCCGAAGCCTGGGTGTGTAATTCATAACCAGTTTTCTTTAGAAATACGATGGCAAAGAAAATGGGAACTTTGATGTGGCTACATGCTTAATAGACAGGGTGAAATACAAACAATATTTACCTCTCTACTACGACTTCAAAGACTTCCCTGGTATAATTATTTTTTTAGAGGACAGGTGATCTCACAGAACAAAAAAAAACTGATGTGGAGAGGGCCATCAAAGAAAAGGTAGATATTAAAAGAGGAGTGATTCACTTCATTCAGAGGTGAGATAGCAAAGACCTTTGTAGAAGTATTTGTGCTGAATTTGCATGATTAAGGGCTGATTGGGTGACTAGCCAGGGCACAAAGTACCTGAGTCACATCCTGGATCCCAGCTGCCGTCAAAAGCTGCAAATCCTGCCCCAGATGCCAGGATGAATTCGCCGTTCAGCGGAAGGTACTAAACAAAGGGATTCAGAGCATCACTGTGCGGCCCCGCTGCCAGCCACCCAGGCTCGTAATCACATAACCATGGTAATTATTTGCATGTCTACTATCCCCGCTGTCACCCAGGCACTTTGCAGTCATGAGGAGCTACCCTCACTGTGACCTGTGTAAAAGGGAAAACATCATCTCCTTTCTTACAGAGGGGGACGCTGTGATGGGGAAAGGCAGTTTCACTTTAGCTTATAGTCACATAAAATCACAAAGTGTTTAGGGAAAAAGGAAAAACAAAGAACAAAAGAAAAACAAAAATAAAYCCTTCTGACAACTTCTTAGGTACACAGGTTTCCAGCCACCTTTGAATGGACCCTGGAAGCAGCCGAGGGCAGCCAGACCACCTCCATCCCCAGGCAAGGCTGGGGTTGAGGCTGTTCCAACTTGCACTTTGCTAGCACAGGCCAACATGGGTGTGTTGACTAAATGACACCCTTATCAATTTGCCAGAGCTTGGCCCATTAACACGTGGGAACAGTTTTTACTGAGAACATCACCATGCAGTTTAGCATGTCTGACCACCTTGATGTCTGCCTGCCACACCGCATGGACAACACATGCATAGGGTCAAATAAGGCTCAATGAGATGCCAACTAGTGAATTTGCCCCTGGAGCAAGCTAAGGAAAACACAGTGGCATTTAATGAGCTGCTCTGCCACAGCAAGAGCCGCTCCCTAAGACATCAGCGCCAGTTAGGCAGGGCTGCCACATCTACCGTTGCTTGAGGCAAGGCTTCTACTCGTGGTCCCAGGGCAAACCCTGCTTAGCTCAAGGTGCTCTGGCTTGCTCTACATCTGAAGACTAGCCCATTGAAGGGTGGTAGGTGGCTGGGTCACCTGCCAGTGCTGCCAGCTGCAGGACACATTTTACCAAACGACCCAGTTGGGCAACTCATTCATAACACATGGCTTATTCAGCCCAGCTCGTCTTACTTTACCAATTACTCAAGAAAATGTTGGGGTTTTCCCTGGTATTTTCATATCTCAACGAGTGAGTAATGTTCAAAACTCTGTTCCCCTTCTAACTCAGTGTATCCAGAGTCTTTTTAGCATCACTCTTCAGACAGTAACTGGAAGCCCTCCAGGGCTGTGTGATGCCCACACAGAACTCTGTGGGCAGGGAGAAGTGTTAGGTTGGATTTTAAAGTTTCATCTACCCGATCAGTCTTTAAATAAGCATGTAGACAAGCAAGACTTAAGGAATGACTGTCACACATGGGTCATGATAGCTCTGTGTCCTTGGAGTAGTCTTGTCTGAGGAGGCTCCAGTCCATACAGGGATCATCTCTGTTGGGATACTGAACAAGTCAAAAAGATCCTCATCCCCAAGCAAACATTTCACATGCTTTGTGTCTTGATGTTGTAATGCTTTGAACTCCATAGCCCAGTTCATCCCCTTGCTTCAGAAATCACGAGAAGCCAGAGCAGAGATCAGGCAGTAGCCATCACCAAGACACAGTGACTTTGCCCATGTTTCAGAGACAGCAGCACTACACATTGCTCCGGTCTAGACAAAAGGCCATAAAAAGAAAAGTGAGGCCTGGGCACCATCTGCCCCACGCCACCAACAGTAGGTAAAAGAAGTTCTTGCCTATGATGCRACATGAGAGTTTAAAGTGTAGTGCCTAACTGGAAATCAAACCATCATGTTCACCAAAATTTCTGTTATTGCCCTCAAGTAAAGAATATTCTTCCAAAACAGAAGCATTGAAAGAGGCTGAAAAGTTTGCTAGGATAAGAATGACAATGTGTTTTTTACAAAAATAACATACAAGGACATTAATGAGGCTCGGGACTTGGCCTGCTTTGAGCCAGGCAAGATCTACGTTACCAGTTTCATACATAATATCCTTCRCTTCAGAGATGCTCCAGCTTGTGTTTCCCCAAGAAAGAGAAGAGGCACCTGGACATTTTGTGGCCATCAGGTAGTGCCCAGTAYGTGGGGCAGATACAGTCAGCGCTGCCACCCAGCTGAGTATGCAGGTGGGCAGACCTTTGCCCAGCAATTCCTTGGCCTCCTCAGGCAGAAGCAGTGTCAGGTCCTCATGGTTGTTCCTCTCACCAACCATTGGGGATCGGACGCTCTGTCCACTGGGCTGTCACCCTAGCTGGGTTCATGCTGCATCACTGCCCTGTGCAGGAARGGCAGCCAGTTGACTGCAGCTGACCTCTTCAAGATGTACTTGATTGCATGCATTTGATGCATTTTATTTATTTGATGTATTTGATGTTTTTTGCCAACATACAATGTCAGATCTTCGCTACAGTCAGCTCTGGGCCCCCAGGCCTGTAGCTACAGAGATCCTTGTRAGAGAGGAAGAACAAGCAGAGAGCAGCTGCTGGTGACAGAGATGAGTGACACACCAGGTCCATGACTAGCTGGCCCTGCTACGTTTTCCCAGCCTTTGGAAGCCGGCACTCATGAGTACTGCRGAGGATCAAGAGCCCTGGGTTGTTAAGTCCCTGCTCTCATCTCTGCCTGGATGAGATCTTTTTCCCCAGTAGATTTACCAAACACTTTGACTGTGGTTGCAGATCTGGGCTTCCCAAGCACCCTGAGGTGGCCATGAGGGACGCAATGAACTTCCCTGTTGAGAGGGTTGTTTGTTCAGAGCTTAAAAAGAAAAGAAAAAAGCCACAAAAACAACACTTAGACAAACAGGAACTTGTGTTTGTAAGCTGCATCAGTCACCTTCTCCAGGGAGCAACGCAAGAGCACTTTGTGCATGCATTATAAGCAAGGGAAAAAAAAGAGGAAGAATTCCCGCTTGCTCACAAGGCTTAGAAAGAGAGCTATAGAGATTTGGCAGAGTTCAGTGCATGGAGAGGGAGGATGAGGCAGGTTTTGTTGATTAAACACACACACAATATGCAAAAGCCAATCCAATGACCAACTACAAACTCTACAAGGGTCTACAAGGATGGGCAGGAGACACAGGGTTAGCAGCACACGTGACCAGTCGGAAGAGGCAGAAGAAAAGGTCTCTTAGTCTCTTCCTGAACATGTTCCACATCTTCAGCATTGATGTTTCCAGCTTGCTGGGGTCTGGATATGCTGCCTGGAGAAGATGTAGCTACTCCAGCTAATGCTGGAGGTCTCCCTCCACCACAGAGGCCTACAACATAGACTGGKTTTTTTTAACCCAAGGAAAGACGTCCACATCCCACCTAATGCAAGTTGTCCCCCAGGACACACACCATCCCAGTCACCAACCAGTTCACGCAGGACTCCAGACCAGACACAAAGGACAGGGATCACCACAGGCCTGTGTACACACCAGCCCTGGAACTAAAACTGCAAGTGGCCAGGCTGGCATGAGGAGTCACCAAACCTGCAGATGTCGGAGAACCCATGCAAGAGGAGCCCTGCAGGGGTTCACGAGGAAGGTCTCCCTGTGCCCCTGCCCGCAGAGCCAGACAAGTGTTGCATTCACCTCTAGTTCCTACAGGCAGGCAGGAGGATCACGGACTGGTCTGAAATGGAGCTGAACACAAGTGTCTCAGCTGCCCAGGGTGTGTTAGTTTGCAAACAGTTTGCACTGATTTTTTCTTCTTCACATAGCAGAGTTTAGCATCACGGCTCACTGCAGAGGACAAACGGAAACTCTGGTTGGGAAAGTGGCTTTCTGCAGTTAGTAGTTTAGTATAGAAATCACATATAGGCTGGGACACTTTCCAAGAACATTTTGAACTGAGCAGTGACATGTACCAAAGGACCAGAGCCAAAACGCTGGCAGTTTCATGTGCTTTCTCCTGCTCCTGCCAACCTGTACTCCAGGGTCATTAATACAGCGAGCTACTTAGAGTCCCATTAGTCATTTCCCATCCCCGATACTGCTAAATGACTTATCTCCTTGGTCTTCATTAGCAACTGTAATGACAACTGAAATACAGGCACAATTTTTCTCACTAAAGCCAGCAGAAAAAAAGAGAAAGGCCACATGTGGCGCTCGGCCACACGGCGTTTGCAACCTGGCAGCGCAGCCCTGTGTGAGAACGGGACACTGAACAACTCCCGGGATGTCTGCAAGGGAAAACTAAGCTGCCTTGTTGAGATATACAGGAAAAAAAGGGGGAAAGAAGTGACAGGCCAGCTGAGACCCACCTTCCGAGGCTACGGTTCTTTCTTGCTTAATGCCCAGCAGCTGTCCTGACCTCAGAACAAGGCCTGGCTTTGGGAGCGTGTGGCTGTGAACCAGCCTCCAAATAAGGAGCCCTGCCCGGAGCCTCATCGGTGCCAGAAAGACCAGGCAAAACCTCCGTCCTGGCCTGGCCAGCAGGGCTCGTGGCTGCAGATGCAGCGCGGCCGGCAGCCCCGCAGTGCCGCAGGCGCTGGTGCGAGCCGGGCACGGCGCCTGCCCTGCAGCAGGGCACCCCGAGGGGCATTTGCTCTTACTGCGGCCCGGCTGCATGCAGCACGGTGCTGCAGTYGCAGCTGCAGTCGCAGTCATGACGGCCGCGGGCTGCGCATTGCTGCGCTGCCCCTCCAGTGCTGGAGCCACAGAGGGCAGCAGGCACCGGAGCAGCCGGCCCCAGCCTGCATGCCGCTGCTGCCCGCCCTGCGGAATGTYGGGATTTTCCCAACAGCCTTCAGGTGGTGGCTCTGCAAACTCCAGGGCTGGATCCACCTGCTTGCCGAAGGCATCTGAGAGGTGCCGGGTCAAAGTGAGCTGCAGCTGAATCCCTTTGCTGGCTGGAGCTTTGCCTGGGGCTCCTTCCCCATGGGGCTTCTTGGGCTCCTTGCTTGTTTTCCTGTCCACGTTGCTCACACCTGCACCCCAGGCTACCTTCGTCCTTCCTTTCCCCTCCATCACAGGCACTGACATCCAGCACTTTCACAGGAGAAGTGCCAAGTCAAGCTCACACCACCCCGTGTCTCTCTAGSCCCCACACTCCATGACAAAAAACATCCCCTGCTTGGCATGGCCTGGACTGAGAGGGAAACCGCGGCAGGAGCCTCGGGAAAAGCCAGTGGAGACTGCGGGAAGGGCACGGGATGGCCTGGGAGAAGGGGGCGCTGGCCGCTCCCTCCGCAGCAGCAGGCTCGGGCAGGGAATGTCGGCCGGGCCGCCGGTGTCCGCGCCAGAAGCCCCTGCTGCGGTGCCCGAAAGGCAGCGCTGCCCCGTCCCGCGCAGCAGGACAGCTTGGCAGCCGCGCGGCCGCGCTCCCTCCATGGCAGGATCGGGTTCCCTCACGGCGTCTGCTCCTCACTTCTTGCCTTGCGCTGGAAGCACGGGGCCCTGCAGCTGCTGCCTGCAGCAGCTCCTCTGGGCCGGCCTCGGCACGGCCACCGTCAGAGCGGGGCTCCAAAGCGCCGCGTGGCGGGAGCCTCCGAGGCCATGTGCTCGGAGCCGGGCTGGCGCTGCAGGAATGTGGCCCTTCCCAACCACCACTTCCAGCTCTGCTCCGGCATGTCCCTCCTGAGCCGCAGCGCCGCTGGCGTCAAAACGCTCTGCTGCGTTTGTGATGGGAAGCAAAACGCAGGCACGTTTTTGTCTGGTTCTAGCAGATACAACTTACCCAGGCTTGACTGTCTGCCCTGGCTGTGCTGCAGAGCTGCGAGGAACTAAAAATCAACAGYGGGGTGGGAGCAAAGACTATCCCAAGGCCACCCCAGCACTAGCAGCCTCCCAGCCTCGCCCAGGGCTCTGTGCTCCTGTCCTGGGCCCCGGCGCTCCCTCTCCCCGAGCCCAACGGCAGGATGCCGAGCTTGGGACACCCCCGGTCGGCGGGATCAGGGTCACCACAGGCACAGGGCAGCCCCTGCTCCCGCTCCCCGCGGCAGCCTGTGCAACACGCGCTCCTGGCCATCCGCTCCGGCCGTCACAACCTTTAAAGGTGTCCCGTGCCCTGAACTAGATGGCAAGGAACAAGCGCATCGGGGAGCTGTTATCCTCAGTAGCTGTGAGGGGCAGTTTTATCGCCCTCCTCCCTCTGGCAAAGCTGCAGGGAATGGTGCCAGAGGAAAGCCTGCAGGATTTGCGCTTATCGTTACGTGCTGTCGCACAAACGAGCGCGCACACACAGACTCCTGTGACAATTTACCTTCATCTCAGAAAGAGGGAAAATAATCCCTTTCCTTGGCACTTTCCTACCCCGAAATCCCCGTTGTGTTGCGGTCAGGAGAGGGCAGCACCGGTGCCTGGGACACGCACGAACCGCCACAGTTGGATGGAGCTGGTGCCTGCAGGGAGCAACTGGCATTTGCAGATGCATCTCTGCCAGGAGGCGGGAAGGAGCACCCTGCAGCAGAGCCGAGGACATTCTGCTCTTACGTGAGGTAGCTAAAGAYACACCAAGGCCCTGCTCCCGCTTGCTGCGGATCCGCTTTTTGTGGATTTACCCCCCYGGCACCGCCGCAAACCTGCTGAACACTTATCTGCTTCCTTAGGCAGCTAAGTACCATAGAAAAGCTGGCCTAATAGCCAGGGTTGCGCTTCAAAGTCACTTACGCTTAAGCTGGATTTGGATTCAGCGCGTAGCTGAATTAGAGCCCTGCGTTAAACTTCAGACCAAGCAACTGCTGAATTGGACAATAAATGAGTTTCCTTTGGAAATAGGAAGGGSGTGGGGGAGAGATGCTCTAACCACAGCTCTGGCCTAATCCCAAGTAATAGSGTGGCTGCTCAGCTATGGCCATGCAGGACGGATGGGATGGGAGCTGCTGGGCTTCAAATCCTTASAGTTCAGTCCTTCCAGAGCAAGGAGCAAAGCAATTCCCAGTCCTGAGGAAGGAAAACCTCTGTGTTCCTGAGGGAGAAGCTGAGACGACGATCACCATGGAATAAGGTCGTGGGAAGATGGAAGTCTGCTCCACGTGGATGCCCAACTGCAGATTTCCAAAGAGCACCGCAGTACGATGTGGATAACACATTTTTCTAATGCCATGAGGAWAAAATCATTTCCTATTCTTCAGATCCCATCTGATGAATGGGAACATTCTGCCAGTAATGGGGCTGAGCACTGTCTGCCATGGGATCTGCTCTAAGTCAAGCACAGGGCAGCAAAAACAGGCAGCGAGAGCCCAAATCTCCCTGGCTGCTCCTAGACCTGTCCATGCACCCACAGTGCCAAGACCTGCCCAGCGCTGCCTGCTCCGCGAGAGGCAGCAGCAGCTCCCAAGAGCTGTTTTCTTTCCCCCTTATCAATATCCCGCCCCAGCATCGCTCTGTGAAATTCCCAGGCAATCTAGGCTGGGAATGTCACCTGCCAGCTCTTCCTTACCACCATCACCAACCTGCCACTTTCTCCTTCAGAACCTAGACTAGTAGAAAATTTGAATAAGAAAAAAGAAACCAGAAAAGGATTTCCTTATAGTGGTCTGTGCACAGAAATAGCAGTGGGAATAGCAGAAAACAAAGTCTACTTGGATGYACAAACACAGGGATTTGGGAGTCCCAATATCCCTTCCATCCCCCTCCTCAGCAAACACACTGTGGCACAGCAGGTTTGGTGGCCTCCTTTGGTCCCTGGGTCTCTCTATGTGGCTGTGCATGTATATTTATACGCACAGGSGTCTGCAGGGGCTGCACGAGGCAGAGCAGGGCCGGCTGCCGGCACCCCCGCTCCCGCGACCAGCACCGTCCTCATGCAAGTCAATGAGAGCCCAGCCCCGCCGGGCTCAATCTCGTCCTGTGATCCTATAGCAATCACCAGCCTCCCCTTTTTTTTCGGCCAAGGGCTGTATAGCATCTCCATGGCGACTCAAAAGCTTAATGTATTCCCGCTGATTTAAGTGATTAATTCTGCAGAGTGGCAAGGCCAGCGCTGGAGCAGGTGCAGCTCTGCCTTGCTGTAAAAACCTCCAAACCAATTTGTTTCCTCATGACCCAGCTGCCAAATTTCCTGCTGTCCCCACCAGCAGCAGAACTGCTCAGGTGCTTGATTTTGGGGTTGYGGGGTTTTATTTATTCATTTTTTAATCCCTAATCTGGGCAGCACCTGATGACCGTGAAGCGCAGCAGCGTCAAGCAGAGAGATGGTGGGGAGGAAATTAGAAAAGAAAGAAATGAAAAAGGGAAAAATCACCCACGGAAACTTGCTGGGATCGGCTACTGTATGTCCTTGTGCTCTGCAGGAAAGAACAGCCAGTGGCTGCTTGAGCGCCGGCCTGTCCCCTCATTACATATAGGCTAATGCTATATATAATGAATAACGCCACTTGCAATTACACTCTTTGCAGGCCTCTGATGAAAGTACTTCAGAAATATTATACATTCTTCTGTAAGAAAAWTAAAATCTACCAGAGTGATATTTTGCTCTTTTCTTTTCTGGGTAAATTCCACATCATTTATTACACTCTATTTGTACATATTTCACGAGTGTATTCTTTCCTTGGAAAATTCATATGTAAAATGCCATGTAAATAAAGCAAATAAAGCAAATATTTGCAGAGGAGCTAAATGCAGCACTGGGCGTTATTAAAGCATCAAAACTRTTAGTGTTGGAGACAGCCCGCACTGTTCACAGCGCAGGAATTTCAAGGACTGGTCGGGATTCAAGGGCTGCTAAAAGAGCGAAGGCACCAGGGCCAGGCCACAAGGCTCAGGTGTCCCTGGGAGGACATCCCTGCACCAACCATGTCCACAGGCACCTTGGTGGCCTTCAGCTCATTCACGTTTCCAMACGTCCCATTGGATAACTGGGATAACACTATGGTAGAATGCAGCCAAAAGGCTCCTTCTATCCTGCACATAAGTAAAAATAAGCAAAATGTTATCATTTTGCTGCTGTCAGAGCCAGGCTGCTGGCACAGGGGGCCAGCCAGACCCTGCAGACCCCTCTGATCTCTGGTACCCCCGAGCTGTGTTTCTACTAGACTGTCATAGTGCCTATCATGCTGCACCTCATCTGTGCCTGTAYCAGCCAGGCAGGAGAAAAATACCAAAAGTAATGGCATTTGAAAGGAAATTTCTTGAGCAGCGCTTTAGAATTTCCCCAAACAGTTTGTTTTCATTTCCAAATATTTTTATGTCAGCTTCACTCAGCCTGTGCCTGGGGCCAGTCCCTGCTCTGCAGCGGCAGCCCCACGATTCAGTTTGGGGCTTCCTCAGCAAACTCCTGCACAGCTTTCGGTGCCACGCAGGGGAGCTTTCTTCTTTCCTCCCAGGAGGAAAAAAAAAAAGAATTTCTTCCAAAAGCAATTGTCTTAAAAAAAAAAAAAAAAAGTAATTACAGAAATGGGCTTTTGGCTCCAAGTCTAATTTCCCCACCAGCCTGCACCGATGCGCACTCCCCACAGCCCCGCGCTCTGCCTTACCATGTCCTTCACGGCATGGTGAGACTTGACGAACACCGAGACAACCTGCAAGAAAAGCAAAAAAAAGAAAGCAAAAAAACCCCACTCAGTGCATTTTCTATTCTCCGGGAGCATGGGAGGAATTATTTTTTCTTTTTTTCTTTTTCTTTAACTAAATGAAAAAGCCACAGGTACCTTGTCTGGCTCAAAGTGAACCGCGTCGCTGGCACACGGGACGCTGCCTGCCTCCCAGTTGGCAGCGGTTTCAAAGTTGGTGTTTGGCAGCCACTGTTTGTAGCCCGCAGCGGCGGCGCCTGRGAGGAGCAAGGACACCCACTGTCACCCTCACGCTGCCCACAAGGAGGGGACAGACCCACGTTCCTAGGCCTGTGCCTTTTTGGGCCAGATCAGGGGAGATTCTGCCTAGGAAGAACCTCTGTGCAGCACTTCAGCTGCATCCCAGTCCTCGTCTCCTCCCGGGACCTCCTGGTGCAGGGGATTTTTCTTGGATTCAGGCGCATTTTTAAACACCCATCCACAGGTTTAAAGATGAATGAAAGGACAAAAACTTCACAGATAAGGATAAGGCAGCAAGAGCCTGCAGGCAAGAATAACACACAAGCAGGTGTTAAGTCCAGTGGCTTCTTCTGAGGCTGGGACCTCACTAGTCCCTAGTGAAGGATGCAGAGCCCCTCATCCTCGGTGTTTCTAACCAGTCTGAGGAGAGCAAGGAGAGCCAGGGGCGGACGGGAAGGGATGAGAGGAAACAGGGGCATCCCAGAGCACCTGAGGTGGGTGCTGCATGTGCCACCCAGAAGGCTGGCTGCTTTTGTGCACTTGGGCCCRCAGGTGGGAACGCAGTCGTCTCCCACCGTGGGATCTGCCCTTGCGCAGGCTGGATCCCTCTCTAAGTGCCTGTTTGCACAAGAGCTTTTGAAACCTGCGTCTTCAACCCTGACATTTCCCAGGCTTGGCTTCCACCTGAAGATGAATCTCAAGCGGCCTGAACTAAACGGCTTTGGACAAGTGAGTTATGAGAGGGAAAAGAGGAAAAAAAATCTTTGATGCTAATATGGTTCATCTTTTTCTTATGGGAAAAAAGGTACAAAAAAAGGCAACCTAGCAAAACACAGAGCGTCTCTGGAGGGAACAGGGTAGTGGAGAGGGAGGAGGTCAGTGGTGCTCCAGTGGGAGAGGTCAATGGGAGAGCTGAGGTGGACATGAGAACAGAGGGGCCATGGGGACATCCCACCTCACCTTGTCCTGGCCACCTCACTGCCCTGCGCTATCCGTCTCCATGGAGGTCCTCTCCTCTCCGGTCAGGCTGCCATGAGTATCCTTGACTGGTGAGGATAGCAAGTGGTGGGAGGGGAGGAAAGGCAGATGGAAGGGGGTCCAGAGGGCTATGGGAGATGGAAGAAGGTGCAAAGGAGAAAGTCAGACCTGTTCGTGTAAGTGCTGGGGAGGAGCTTTGGCTCGTGTGCGCTAAGTAGGCTCTGTGGAGGCTTTATCAGCATGTAATGATCTCCTCTAGAGCCTAATTGCACATTTGTGCTGTCTGACTCTGCCAGGGGCACTGCCGAGACAACTTGTTGTATATAGCCAGGTTCACACTAAGGGGAAAGGATATATTTTTAACCCGAGCTCTAAGGCACGAGCAGGCGCTGGAGCCAGTGTGTGGAGGCTGCAGTGGAGAGGAGAAGCTGGTGGGGAGCAGAGGRGCTTCCTCAGCCCCACTCCAGGCTAGAAACTCGCATGCTGAAGGTAAGGTCTGGACAAGGGTGGGAGTGGCCCCAAAAATATCTGAAAATCCTTCTGCTAATGGAAGCTAAAGGTCCAAGGCTTTCTCCAGTTGTCAGTCACTAAAAAGAAAGACCTCACTTTTCTTTGACATATGGTTTTTACCATGTAAGATGATGCACAACCCAGCTGGGCAATCAGCTCTGCACTGCCCAGCCTCTCCAACCGCCTTCTGCACTGAGGTTCATCCACCCTAAGCCAGACTTGGACCATCCCCAGGAAAAGACCTGATGCAGCAGGATCCTTCACTTCARCCTGACAGAATTATAGAACAGTGGAGGTTGGAAGGGACCTCTAAAGATCATCTAGTCCAACCCCGCTGCTCCAGCAGGGACATCCAAGGCACATGGCACAGGGCGGCATCCAGGCAGGTTTTGAAAATCTCCAGAGAAGGAGACTCCACAACCTCTGTGGGCAGCCTGTGCCAGGGCTCTATCACCCTCACAATGAAGAAGTTCTTCCTCACATGGAGATGGAACTTCCTGTGTTTCAATTTGCACCCATTACCCCTTGTCCTGCCCTGGCCACCGCTGAGAAGAGTTTGGCCCCAACTTCTTTACATTTTCCCCTCAGCTATTTATACATATTGTTCAGATCCCCTCTCASCCTTCTCTTCTCCAGGCTAAACAGGCCCAGCTCGCTTAGTCTTCCCTCACAAGACAGATGCTGCAGCCCCTTAATCATCTTCGTTGCTCTGCGCTGGACCCTCTCTAGAAGTTCCATGTCCCTCTTCACAACCTCCCTGAACTCTACAGACCTGAGTGGCCATTTCCAGCGTCCTTCCAATTGAGCCCTTAAGTGGAGCGTTCCCTCCTTGATAGTCCTTGACAGAGAAGACCCTGACAGCTATGAGAATCAGACCCAAGGAGCTGCTTTCAGAGCTGTGGCCACAGAAAAAAATGTTATTTCAGAATCAAAAAAAAAAAAAACCTTAAAATCTTTAAATACTAATTGCAAGTCGCTCTGGCCCTGCTATGGTTGACTGGTGCCCTTCCAGCTGTGGGGAGCTGGGAAGGCAGAGGTTAACGCTCCGGCAGGGAGACCGGCTGTCCCCATTGAGCACACGCATCACGTCCCCGCGGGTGCGCGCGGCCGCGTGGGCGCAGGCAGACCCCGCGGCGAGGGCGCTGCCGGCGGCTCCGCTGCGCTCGGTCGCGCGCGCCGGGGCCGACGAGGTTAATCTGCTACTGCGGCCCAAGCTYGGCAAAGCTCTTCTCCCACGGAGCTGTGCTGATGCATTCCTGCACCTTCTACATCCCTGGAAATATCAGCGTGCTATTTAATCAGCCTCGTCTCCGGGGAATCGCAGTCCTTGAACATCAAAGCTACATTCATATTCAACAGAAAATGGATCCTGCGGTGCAGAGCTGCTGGCTTCAAATAACAGCAGAAAAACCTGAGCAGCAGAGGTGCAGCAAGCGCGATACATAAATCACAGCCTGAGCGCGCAAGCTCGTTCCCCTCCCAGCTCTCTGTCCAGCTGGAAATGCATTTTTCCATTTGCATTACAAATACCCCTTAAGTGACAGAGTCAGCAGCTCTGCTCCAAAACAGGCTGCCCCAACGCACACCCAAGAGGGCAAAGCTGTTGAGCAGCCCCCTCATGTTCCCCACTGCCCATAGGCCCCAGGGTTACTCACCAAGGAGCTGCAGACAGCCCAGGAGGAAAAGCGGCCTCTTCATTTCGCAGCCCCTTGCCTGCACTTGTCTTCACGGCCTCGGCCCCGTCGGACCTTGGACTGCCCGTGGGCACGTGATGGGAACGGAGAGGAGTGAACCGGCACCGGGGCACAGGTTTACCTGAAGAAACAGAGCCTTGGGCGGCACAGGAACCCATGCAGGCATCTGCATGGAGCTTGGGAAAGCCATGGGGGAATGAGATTCATGGGACCTTCCTGCAGCCCATTTTTCCCTGATTAGTTACTTCAGCATTTGCACCTTAATTTCTCCCTTCTCTCACCTCRTTCAGCCTGGGCATCTGCTGCAGTGAAGCGAGAAAGAGCAGCCGACACTTAAGCCAAGCATTTCCCTGCACGCTGCTCTCCCCTCCAGCGTGCCTGCCACCTTATCCTCCCCAGTAATGGTCTTGGTGTGTTTGCAAGGYGCTTGCTTGGAGAAGAGCAGCTCCCAGGCAGGGCTCTGGGTTCTTTGGACACCGGCTGACCTGCCGGTTGTGCCGCGTGTGCCATTGCAGGGTGGCGTGAGCCCCTGTGCAGTGTGAGCTGGTAGCACCAGCGCTGATCTCAGCTGGAAGCTCCCAACTTGTTTCCTGACCAAGGAAAAAGTCCAGACAGGCACATCCCGCCGCAGCCATTGCACCTCCCATAAGACATAGAGAGCTGCATCTCTGGGAGGGGAATGAATGTGAGGAAGAGGAGAATACTCCTAATTTCACATACAAATAATGGGCTGGGGCTGATTGTGCCATGCAGGAGCGAGGCAGCAGAAGAGGCTCTAGATAGGCCCTRGAGAACAAGTTGCTGGAGTTCAGTAGCACTCAAAAACTCATAATGATGGGTTGGGAAAGTGAGGAAAGGAACCAACAAGATCAAAGCAAAAGCCATTGCCATTGCAAGCTGCAAGAGTTTCCCAGAGCCCAGGAGGAGGCTAGAGAAGTGCTTGGAAGGACCTCAGGAGACCCATGGGATGTGGTGCTTCGCTCCCAGAGCCACTGGCACTCTGCATAAGGTGGAGTCTCCCACCTCTGCAGAAAGCAGCTGATGGGGAAAAGTGGCCACGGCCCTCCCTGCCCAGGAGCTCCGCTCGGCCCTGGGGGTCTAACCCTGGAGGATAYGGCCTCCTGCCCCATCCTCTGCTGCAGCAGGGCAGAGGAGAGGAAACCTCCTTGGCATCAAATCTCTGCCCGGGCATGAGCCAAAACCTCCTCAGAGCTCCCTGTGCAAGGAGCCGCCTGCCAAGAGACGTCCTGGACGTGAGAGGCTCCCATCTTGTTACCACTTGCAAATCCCGCCCTTGGGGACGTGCAGGCCCAACGCTGCCTCAGGGAAGCTGCCTGAATATAACAGACACTGTGAGCCGGGAGGGCAGGAAGACGCYGGGTGATAAAAGCCTGGGGCTGGGCTACCGCTTCGGCTCTGTCTGAAGGAAACAAGTCTCGGTGTGAGCACTCAGGCTGGGCACGAGCTGCGCCGGCGGCCGAGCCCGCGCGGCGCCCGTGGGCACGACGTGCTGGCAGCTGGAGGCCGCCCTGTGGCGGGTGACGGGTGCCAGGCCGCGCACAGAGCCGGCTGAGGCCCTTCCAGCTGCCGAGCCCCGCCGTCCCCGGGAAGCCATTGAGCACATGGCGAGAAATCTGCTACGATAAAAACACTGGGCGATAAAAACACTGGGCGATAAAAACGTTAGGCGATAAAAACATGAGGCGATAAAAGTGTGGCCTCAGATGGAGATAGATGGGAGCAGCAGCAGCAGAGGCGCACCCAGCGCCCGCTGCCTCCAGCCCTTAGCCACTCGTAGGACGTGTGGCCTAGGGCTGGGCAGCCCGTGTAACCATTACCCCAGTGTCACAGAGCCACCCTCAAAGCAGCCCGCTTCCAGCTGCGACCGGGTGGAGAGTAACATCCCACAGGGATTTTTTTCCTATCAAATAAAATGCTAAAGGTCCAGCTGCAAGAGCACATTTTATGCTGTTGTGGCCGTTGCCTGGTGGTCCCTGGGGTTGGATGAGCCATAGGCCTGTTCAGGAGAGCCACAGCCCTAACTCACGGGGCCACTCAAAGAGCTCCCGCTGCATGCGCAGTCAGCCCATGACCACAGAGTCTCAGAATGGTTGAGGATGGAGGGGACCTCTGGAAATCATCTAGTCCAACCCTGCTGCTCCAGCAGGGACACCCAGAGCACGGGGTACAGGGCGGCATCCAGGCAAGTTTTGAAAAGCTCCAGTGAAGGAGACTCCACAACCTCCCTGGGCARCCTGTGTCAGGGCTCTGTCACCCTCACAGGAAAGAAGTTCTTCGTGATGTGCAGATGGAACTTCCTGTGTTTCAATTTGCACTCATTACCCCTTGTCCTGTCACTGGCCACCACTGAGAAGAGTTTGGCCCCATGATRGCCACCTGCCTCAGGATTCTTCATCATTGAGGAAGATGAATTGCCCTGCTCTTTTGTGTCCCACAGATACTGCAAAACTGAGAGGAGGCTTGCTGAGAAATGCTTCAGCAGGCCCTCACTCCTCCACAGCATGTTTCCTCAGCAGCCCAAGCGCCTTCTGTCCGTGGGGCTGCCTGATACATGCTTGGACTTCGTGACCACGTGCACCAGCAGGCCTTGTGCCTCCAGCAGCCTCCTCCCCGGCTACCTGTAAGGCGAGAGAAAGTTCCAGAAGGCTTTTACAGTCACCTGCTTTCCCATGATTGATCCAAACCATCAGAAAGTCTCTTTCCCAGGGCAGCTGCAGATGACTGAACACCAAAGGGAGGTGAGGTGAGGGAGGAAGGGGCAATGCCTSTCAGAACTGAAGTCATTTCCCCTTCGAACTACCACCAAGCCAGGAGTCAAGAACACGTTCATGGAGGAGGACCCTGAATCACAACCAGTCCATGCAGCCCTGCTGCCCCTTCACACACACACGGGCAGTGGTTACCCTGCAGTGCTGCTCTGAGAGACTGGCGCCACAAAGGGAGGCTTTTATTGGCCATAGAGTTAGTGACTAGGACTGCACCTGATAGATATCAAAATGAGAGGCACTTTGCTGTGGCCACCGSAAGACCTCTATGCAATAGCTTATATGGCTTTACCATGATAGCAAGGGCCTGACATGCTTGGTGTTTTCACGCTATGWGAAATGCAGAGGAGTCAGCTAGTGCTGGCTCTGTGACCAGAGAKGCCAGAGCCCTCGGCTGAGTCGAGGCCCTGGGGAGGTCCTGGAGCACTTTCCTCTGACGGAATTTTAAGGGACATAAGCTCATCCAAACCATCTCAGTGGGACAACAATACTTGAGTCTGTGCAATGCTATGTAAGCTATTTTGGCTTCAGAAGGAAGAACGGATGCCAACGACCAGGATTTCGGAGCTGTCTGGGAGGTGCAACCACAAGCAGGACAACAAGCAGCTTTCTGACTTGGACAAGAAGCATCAGTTACAGCACCAGATTACTGCACATAATCTCTGGCATGCAGATGCGGGAGTCTGAGTAAAGAGGCCTATTTTTCCAAGCACTGAGCTGAGAAGCTACTGGACACTACAATCAGCCCACTTCATGCAGTCCCCATGCTTAGATGGAGAGCTTCTTACTCTGAAGACTTTTCAGCCCCTTACCAGCCTCCATTTTCTATCCCTTAAACACCTGCTAAAAGGGAAATATCCAGCAAGGGAACAGTTGAAGCCTCGTCTGTGTTCCAGATGGTTGATGGCATCAGTTACACTGGGAGAGGTGTTTGAGCAAGCTCTCCTAGAGAGGCCGTTTTATACAAGCCAGGGCTGTTTTAAATAATCTTCTCTATGGGAGCTTCTGTGTTGGCACAAAGTGGCAATTCAGTGTCCATGGCACTGCCTGCAAACAACTTGTGTCTCTAATCAGCACAGCTACACTCTCAAAAAATTTGTGCCAGACGTAGCAGGTAGTACTAGTTACCATCAAACACCCCTTAATCTAGTTTATAGTCTCTACGGTGAAAGTCATTCCCTCAATTTCTCCCCATATTTGCAGAGATGACCCATGGGACTTCAGTGCTGCCACTGTCTCCACATTTGAGCTGCTTTCTGTCCTTATATGACCACACTAGAGCAGGCCATTACCGTTCAAGCCTGAACTGGCCGACCTGGCTCTGGTGGCCACCCTAAAAGACCAAAAAGCTGGATCAAATCATTTAGTCTCTGTATGTTTTTTGACTTGAACAAGTGTTGAGGCCTCCTCTCCCCCTGCACTGATAGGCGTTTGCACATGCCAGAGCTGTTGAGCAATGGACAAGTCCTACAGAGTCTGACCTAGCAACCTTCCTCTTTTGTCATGCACTTAACACACTTTTCTGTGTTGCTGACACTGTTTAATAAATAGTTTGTATGATTGCTTCCTTCTTTCTCACCAAATGTGCTCTGTATGTCCGTGCTTGTGCAGAGCGGGTAGACTAGATGATCTCTAGTCTCCCTTCCAGTCTCAACCATTCCATTCAGTGAAAGGTAACAACACTGGAGCTCCTCAGGCCCTTGATATTTGTGTGGACAATATTGGTCTTTCTACATGCCAACTGTGACATTGCAGCTTGCCTTATCAGTGGAATTTTTATACACTCATCTCTTCCATTTTTTTTTTCCAAGCCCAACTTTTAGAAGAATAGCGACAACTCAACCAAGTTGCTGGTTTGCTTCTTTGAATCACCAAGTGTCTCCATTTTGGTAGTTCAAGCGAACTTTCCCGAAGAACAGGCAAAGGGGCCTGGGGAGTAGGGAGAGACTTTGGTTACTGCTTGTTTCGCCCATACATGCTTCGTGTAGAACAAGAACAAATTAGACACACTACCTTACGGGGACACCTTTCAGGGCCCAACCCAGCAGTGCAGGAAGGAAACACACATCTGACTCACGGAAAACTGACTTTGGGGAAGGAAGGGGGAAATCACCTCTTTCACCACTTTAACCATCAAATATTTCCCCCTTCCTCAGACAATTACAAGACTTCATCATACAGAAACAGTCTTGTATTTTATACGTGAGAGTTTTCAAAA